AGGGTGAAGTGAAACACTCGAGACAATTGACTAATTTATTAATGCATTTAAAATTATTTACATTAGTTAATATAATGGTTAATTTGTTGATTTACATTTCTTCTTGGTATTCCACTTCACTCTACCTTCCCCTATTTAATTTCAATAATATTTTTGATAACAAACTTTTTGAATTTCTATACTTTTTCGACTCATTGTGATAATATAAACAATTCAATGACGTAAGTAAAGCATAAATAATTCGTAAGGGTGTGAAAATATCATTCCAATAAACAATCCATTCAAACCGTGTAAGACATTGTAGAAAATTCATTTGCTCAAATTGAAAACTATCACACATAGTCACAGTAATAATGTTTGATATTATATTCATTATTTGTTTATTCTTCTCATTGAAAACATTTTTTATTGTAATTATATTTATAATTAGTGATGTTTAAAAAAAAAAATATTGTTGTGGCCTGGATTCGAACCAGGATTTTCAGGTTACCAATGTAGAGTCGTGACCTTATCTAAGACTTTTATTCTTAGAATAAGTTGTTTTATGAAGTCAAGGGAGTCAGATCTTACACAGTTTTTTAAATTCGCGATTAAGAGTCGAGTTTAGAGTCACTTACAGGTAGATAGATTCGTGAACGATAGAGAAATCGTCCACACTCACAGCTCTACAGAGATATTTGTCCTGACGCGTTACCACTTACGCCACCACGACATTAAGATTTGCTGTACTCTTATATGCATGTGAATATGGATTTGATTTAATTTTTTAAATCTTTGAAAAATTGTTTTGTTATGTGAATTAAAATTAGAAATTAATTTTAATTAAAATGTGCATAAAAAAAAATATTGTTGCGGCCTGGGTTTGAACCAGGATTTTCGGGTTACCAATGCAGAGTCGCAAATTTTCGTATCTGTTTACGATCTTACGGTCAATTTTGACGCGCCCTAGAACTTTAATGGTACTGATCAAGCGATCGGGTGGTTCCCTTCATAGAAAATAAGCTAGTCCCTTTCAGACAGTCCACAAGCACAAGTTTCGTCCCCATACTGATAAGTCCCAACAATCACTGATGCTAATTGGTTCTTCACAAATTATATTCAAACGTGGTCCCTTATTGCAATCAGTTTCTTCCGCAGGACTTAGCTTGTTTCATTCAGATTGTCCACAAACACAAGTGTCGCAGCCCTATCTGGAAAGTCCCAACAATTACTGGTGCTAATTGGGGTCCTTCACGAATAATTCTAAACGTGATCTCCCCCTCTAGCGTTTGACTTTAGTTAAAATCACGGAAGCCGTCAGTTAAATTTTCCCTCTAGAACTTTAGCGCCAATGTTGGTCCAAGAACTTCGAGGTAAATTCATTTTTTATTTGTCAAACGACGGTTTAAGAAAAATCGTATTTGTTTGACATATCGAGCGCGACTCTACACTGCATTGTCCCGACACGTTACCACTTACGCTACCGCAACATTAAGGAACTATTAACTATTTTATCTATTTAAGCTATAAAAATATTTAAATAATTTTTTATTTTATTATAAAAACAAATATTATAAGTATAGTAAATTCATATAATTATGACCTAATGAAAATATTTAAAAAAAAAAAATATGAAAAAATTTCTGCCCCCTGGATTCGAATCTAGTTTCTTTCAGCCAAAGAGCGTAAGAAGCCTATAAGGTTTGAAGTGTTACTATGCATTTTTACTCAACATGATCCAACACTTTTTGCGTCACAGTATCGTTAAAAATATGCAGATCATTTGATGTATTTTAATTATAAATGACACAGTGAAATTTTTTTCATTTTTTTGCTTGAATGACGCTTTAAAACCGCGAATTTTAAAAATAAAATTACCATTACCCAAAGGCTTTCAAAAAATTCTTAGAAATTTAAAAAAAAATCTGATTTTGAATCTTTTGATATAAGTTTCTACATTGTTATTTGTCGGTTGTTAGGTTTGATTCTATTTCTGAGAATATAATTGTTTCCCACAGATGTTCGAACTTTATCAGTACATCAAATACAAAATCAAAGTAAACCACAAATACTCTGGTTTCTGATTCTATTTAAAGGTAACGCAGAAGTAATTGTACTTTATGATCGTTCTTCGAAAACTTGCTCAATTAACCAAGATGTACTTGGAACACAAGATATTTAACGTAAAAACGAACTCTTTCAAACACTTTTAATGAAAAAAAACTAATTTTATCTCTTAATTGAATAATTTTTTATTTACTTATTTAGCATAAAAATTTTCTGTTAAACTTCACTACTCGATATCGTATATTCCATAATCCGGATATTCTATAAATATTGATATAAAACATTTATAATGAAAATCATTGTTGTCGAAATTTAAATTGTTGTCAAAAAATGTAAAATAAATCATCGATAAAAATCACTAGAAAACGCTTGTAATAATTTATTTAAAAGCAATTAAAAATAATGTGAAACGCAATCATTTTCACTGAAAGTATTAATTGGAAATCAACATTGAAGGTTTTAGAGAGAAGTGAATAATAAAGGGATTTAACAACTGGTTATTTTATTATTAATAAAATGATCAAATAACAATCTCTGTGACCACGTGATTTAGTTAAACATAATTGAGTGTATCAGATTGGATCCCAATTAATTTTCAAACACTACGTAAAAGTTTAATAACCTCGTGGTTATTTAGCAAGCCACCTAGACTAAACTCCAATTAAATGGCCTATCGATTAGATAATCCAAGCGTTCTATCGAGTTAGCAGCCTGGCACACGAACGAGAAACGAGTCTGTATAACAGATGGGGGCATACAAGGGCACACAGCATCACTCAGCGTGTAATGAGGCGCGAAATAAATTCTCTACTAGAGTGCAAGCATACTCTAAGACTTGCTCTAGACTTCTTTCCCATAGCCCAGTGACCAAGCTATAATTTTTTTATCCTACACTCCATTTAATCTTCCATAACAAATGTTTAAATTGATCTTCAATATTATCCTACTTATATACACCCTCACATCAGAAGCTATTTAAATACATATATAATAATAGTAGTAGTCTTTAAAACTTTTAAGTTACAATGTTTATATTCAGAATCATTAGTAAATTTATTTGCAATACTTTAAGATACATTTTTCTTATTAAGTCAGATTAATTCAGTAGAAAAAACTTATTGTTAATAAATTGTTAAACGAAGTCAAAATTCATTAATTATAAAAAAATTATTGAGTAGAAAAATTTAGTGCAATGGAGTGGTTACATCTTAGTGTAGATTTTTTTGGAGAAACTTCTTTTATTAGATAAAAAAAATAGTATCAATTGATTGCCAATATATTTAATTAAAAGAGACTAAAAATTACCATTAGTACTGGATTTTTGACATATTTCAGAGAACGCTCAGAATAAACTACATTTGCAATGGTTGATATTTTTTTTTATCACTAAAACCAAAATTTTTTTACTACTTTTAAACCCCTGTAAGATTAAAATATTCATCTAATTAATTGTTGTAAAATTTAATACATTCATCATTCCATTATTCTAAAAATATTTCATTTCTTAATTATATTATCATTAATGTGTTTTTCCTTTCTTCAAAAAAAACGCGTTTTAATTTTTATTTATTTAATGATTATTTTAATTTATTAAAATTTTTCAAAAAATTTATAATAAAAATGAATATTTTTTCGAAATAAGATGACTGTTAAGACAATCATCTTTTCTAACTTTTTGTATCAATGCACTAAACTTGAAAAATAGTATTATTTATCTTTGCTCAGGCATATTCAATTATCTGATTAATTAAAACTAACAATCACGAGGAGAATGATTTTAGTTGTAATGTGGAAACCTGGTATTCAAATAAATTATGAATAACATCAGCACGTTGAAATTCAATAGAGTTAAATTTCTCACAATTCTCTTCACTTACATAATCATATTATCTCATAATGAAGTACGATAACATGGCAAATATGTCTTACAAACCCCGAGAATTAATTTAAATCCCTGCCAGACTTAATTCCCTAACAATCTCAAGAGATTTAGTAAAGTGAACACACACAGTGTATGAGACAGTCCTCAGCTCGTTCGATTTTAGCTTCCAGAGTGTATACCTATAGGGATGATGATGGTCGACGACGTGAAACGCCAGTTGCCCGGCAATTACCTAAATGGTCGAGTAAACAATATCCGCTACGATTTTCGAGGAATATGTATAGTGTATAGACCGTGTACCTTCTATATGATGCAGGGAGGTTCACCTCACGTATACATGCATCTCTCATTTCGCGTGGTTTTGTCTGTCTCTCTAGCTTATTGCATCCCGTTCATTGCTCTGTCCTTTTATCGCGTACGCAAGGTAGTGGTGGTAACTACGGTGGCTAAATCAAAGACAAACCACTTTAGGTCGTCCAATTGCTAGCATTAGGTTGGAAAGTGAGGGAATATATAGAGGGGATTGTGTACATACTTAAGTATCTTCACGAATGATAATGACTGCAACGACTTTACTCTTTGCTTGTGTGCATCCTTGTCTTCAATGTGCAAGCATGCATCAGTAAAACTCAGAGAAACAACGCACAAAGTATCTCACGCGTGTGCATTAACTGCGCAGCTCATCTCGCGTTTGGAGCCGACGACTTCTGGATGCTGCCATTGGTGGATGTTGAAGTATTTTGGAGCAGTCGCGTTTTAGTCCCGCCTATCTGAGGCGTAACACACCCTTCTGTATGCTCCCTCTTGACTACAGCTAGATCCAAGGTTTAATAATACTACGATATACACACCTATTCCGGCACTATGGCTCTCTATACGCGGGATATCAAACGGACAACATCTTCGTCAAGTATGACACTCATCAGTCGTGTGCTCTGTCTTGTCACTTATGTGTTTTCATATTAATAGTGATAGTGAGTGATTTTATTGGTGAGAACGTTTGCTAATAATAAATATCTATTAGTTTGTTATAATTATTTTCAATTGGTCAATAAAATGCTCAAGTGTTGGAGGTAATGGAATAGTATCTTCCGCGTGGCAATGTGGAAGATGCAAGAGGCGCGAACATTGTCACCACTTGTGGAAGGCTCAGTGTCTCGTTTGGGTGAGGAATTGAATTTACGTGCGGTTGTTACGCACGACAAGCGTAAAGTTTTATTACATATGAGGACAGGAGACCCATTTGTTGGATTTGATCAGCAAATGCGGCAAGCTAGTGCACCCGTAGCTTCGCCTGTCTCAGAGACTAGTGCGATGGATGAAGACATTGAAGAAACGCGAGAAAAAAATGGTCTTGAGACAGTTGATAGGCCTGATGATGATGAAGATGATGAAGAGGAGCCTGAGGAGGATGAAAATATTCAAGATGTGAATCGAAATCGGACTTTAGTGAGAGAAGATGATGAAGATGATGACGAAGCTCATGAGAGAAATGGAAATTATGACGATGAAGATGTTGAGGTCGATGTGTGTCGAGAAGCTGAAAGCAATCCTAGTAGTCCAGTTGATCTAACTGCTTCTTCTAGAACGATAAGTGCTAATGAACAATTTCTTAATCCTTTTGCAAATCGTGCGGTTGGATTGCATGCCTTATCGTGTATTCAATCCAGTGGTGGTAATAGTGCTGTTCATGGTGCAAGTGCTAATGGTGTCAGCCATCATACAGCGACGGCTCCTTCTTACCTTCCTGGACATGCAACTGGATCTATGACTGGATCTATTTGTAATCCAGGAACTCATTTATCAAGAATGAGTAATGCAATGGGTAGTTGTTTAACGAACACTTCACCAACTGTTCAAAATAGCAAACGTGGACTTGCTTTCTCAGTTGAAAATATTCTTGATCCTAATAAGTTCACTGGAGGACGAGTAATTCATGAGAGAATTACGTGTAGAAGACGACAAAGAACTGGAAGTGTACAGGAAGGTAATTCATTTTTATTCTTCTTCTTCAATTAATAAAAATATTTTGTTCCTAATCTCTATTTTGAGATAAATAAGCTAAAATTTTATTGAGATGAAAAGATGTAAGTTTGAAAATATAAATAAATTATAGCTGCTACTGCTTTGGTATTCAAATGATTAAGGAGAAAAAAAAATTAATTGTTTTATGCACATTCCTATTGGAGAGTAAATTTAATTGTCTAGAAATCTCGACAATAATTTTGTTTCTTAGATGATGCCAAGTTTGTTTGGCAGCTTCTAAAAGGTCAGTCTGTTTGAACATCGACTACAATTCACTCTCAATTAACGCCGACACTAATAAATACGCATAACGTCGTTCGTAAATTCTGATACTTTTGCTCGTAATGGTTTTTGCAAAGCGTCCGACGGGGGACACTCAAGCTCTTGCTAATTATTTTATTCTCGCTGTAATCTCTTGTCTTCTCATCTATTCCCAGCTTGTGCGGTCGAAAACGTCGTCATCCTGTTCTATATTTAGATTCACTCAGAAGAGTATCATTTTTTTCTCTCCTAAAAATGTCAAAAAGAGAGACAGGAATATCTACAAAACGATTTATATGTAATAAAAAGCGTGAAAATTATACAGGAAGCTATAGATTTTGTTTTAGGGGAAATATATGAGCTTCATAAAAATACAATGAATCGGTTCTGATGATTAACGATCCGTATGTGAGAGCAACTCACCAAAACAAAAAATAATAATGGATCAAATACAACCACGCACGCGCTCGTGTTCCACTTTATTTAATGCACGTGAATATCCATGAAATTTGTCATTAATTTCGATATTTTTTCATCCAGAAACAAGTGTATATTATGTTATGAGTAATTCTTCAATTTTTTTTTATATTCGTTAATTAACAAATTGCTTAGGAAACATATTTTACTAATTTTTGTTTCAGTTAAAATTAATATACTATTTTATTAAGAGAACCGTGTTAAAAAAACTTTAATTTTTATAGAAAAAATAAAGATTTCGTCGAGTAATTTTGTAATTCGTCTAAGACTGTAAAAATATTTTTAAATTCTGATAGCAAACGAATAAATACTCAATTAGCATCTAAATCAAATTCTCAGTATTCAAAAAACAATCCCCTCAATTTTCTTGTATTTCTGAAGCCGAACAACAAAGCGAGAGGGGTAAAATGGTCTGGTGATGGGGGTAAACTGTCGGAGCGTGACAAATTGCTCTGCTAATCTGCGTTAACCAGTCTTTGAGCCCCGTCATCATTGGCTCTATTCCGATACGGGACATCGAGGATCCACTTGAGATATCAAACTCTTTTCCAGCCACTATTTTCCTCCACTTGTAACGACCATTCTCACTTTCCTTCTTTTTTTGAAGTAACAAAAGAGCTGTAGGAGCCAAATCGAAAACAGAAAATAAAAATAAAATGAAAAGATCGATCACTTGAGAGGTGAAATGAAATTCGGAGATTGCAGAATCAATTGTCCATCAATCTTGTCCAGTCTCAGTAGCATTCCTCGTTAAAACGACATCAGACTATCGACAAATCGTCTAAATCCGTCTCTCTGCTCTCACAAGTTTTTTTCTCCCCTCCCGGACGACGTCACGGCTGAAGGAATAATATCGTTGGTTGTTATGATAATCGCACGGCATCGCGTCGCATCGCGCCAAGCCGCCCAGAAAATTGGCTCTTCTGCATCACAATGACGCCCTCGCCTGCTCTCTTACCCCTGTTGCCGTACTTCTTGTTCCGTCTTTCCCCTCGGACCAATACAATCAGGGGCAGATTTGTTGAACGTGCGAAACCGCCAGCATTTCTGCTTCCTCTTATTCACTATATTGCTCTATCCTCCTTCTATCTGACCCTTCGTCTTTCAGTAAAAATCTCTAATTACCGCCTCGACCCTCTAGTATCACAGTCGATGAGCAAAAAAAGCTCTTGCAACGTCGATGAGGGGAAATCAATTATCCAACTTTTTGCTAATTTACGCGGCTGATTTTTTCTGTGAGCAACGACACCAGGTTATTCATTACAGCTTTGTCAAGTTGCCAAGTTAATTAAAAAGACAAAAAATGATATATTACAAAGAGGAAAATAAAAGCAGAAAATTTTCTAAATGATATCGTCAAGTGAAGCAGCAAAAGAGCAGTCATAAAAAAAGAAAAATCGTTTTTCGCTCGTTACTTCAAATCACAACGTGACCACGTCGAGCAAGACAAATCGTTTCGACGACTCGAGTGAACGGTTTGCACGAGCGTGTAGATGAGACCAAGAAAAACGAAAAAATCGAGGGTCACCAGCAACGTTTCCTAGTCCCAAGTGTACCCTTAAATTTAGAGGATCCATAAAAAAGCTCACGCTTCAGTACTCACCGACGAACCTTTTCTCGCGCATATCCCATTTTTTTCTCGTGTGTCCTTGCTTTTCTTGCCATTTAGACAAATTCCTTGGGACGTCAAGATGCGTCATGGATAGATCTTATTCGCTGTATCTCATCTTTCTTACCATCCTCCAGGGATAATTTTGAGCGACACTGATAACAACCTCCTATAGGGGGAACTGGAAGACCTTCTGGAAGCAAAAATACCCTCCTAGGAATCATAAAAACAAGCCTGAAAACAAATAATAAACATGAATTACACAATTCAATTAGTCCAGTATCATGAAATGTTCAATGAATTAAATCGTTAATTAATTAATGATAATAAGAAATAAAGTTTCCGATAAAATAAATTACATTTTCTCTTTAATTAGTAAATGTAATTTCACTAATTAAATTCCAATGATAAATAAAGTTTTGTTGACATATAAGATGGATGAATAATTAAATAAATCCAAATGAACACAAGTTTACATTAAAAGGTTTCATTTTATTACACTTTCCAAATTTCTCTCAAATAAAATCGTACATTATCAATGAGCCCACTGATAAAAAAGTCTAAAACTTGGTTCAAGTAACTTCTATCTCGAGATGTATCTAGAAAAATAGAATTGAATGAAGCTGGAAACCTACAGAAATCCTACTTTATTTGAAAATTCAAAAAAGTGAACTTAAGCTGGAATGTGGATTACGTGTTGGAAATGACTGAGAATCAATTGAAATAGTCCCTCAGAGCAATGATGTATTTTTTTCCTGGCCTGAATGTGGATAGGTGGAAACCGATATACGGTATTCGTGAAGTGATTCGTATAAAAAGAGAAGAAAAAACATATATATAGTCGATGGGTAAAAGAGAAAGAGAAACGAGGTCTGCAAGAACGATCGCGCGTTAACGAGATACAAATCCCATTACGGCGTAAACCTTCTCGATCCGTCGCCCCCTACGGACTTGCAACCCCCGCGCTCTCGCGGGCCACGAGCCACACCAATTCGGATCAACTTTTTATCTCACTCAGTCCCTCGTACTTTGTGGCTCACACTATCTCTTATTCGCTTAGTTTGTCGCACGATCCATCGTCCCGGGCGCCAATTCTCTCCCTACTGTTCAGTTCAGAGCCAGGGAATATCTGTCCCCGGGACATCTGCGCGCTGATTGAATCTCCAATCTCCTCTCTCTCATTGAGCGAACGATTGGCCGGACGAACGGGCCGGTCGGTCGACTAGCCGTCGGCTCTTTGCTTCACAATACTCTCTCATCTCTATTGCCAAACTATCGCAAGCTGTTTTCCAATAAAAATCAACCGATCATTTCATTCATCCATCATTAATAGTTGGTGTTCAACTAATTCATCTGCTCCGTTTTAAAAACTATTTCATTGCGAGAAATATGTTTTCAATTGAACTTTACTCTCAAAATAAAAGATGTAATTTTTTCAAATGGTCTAGCTTGAAGAATTTCACATGTCTCATTTTCGAACCCTCTCAGGACCCAGATGTTCAGAATATTACGGATACACTATTAAATAAAAATAAAGTGAAAGAAGACGATCTGATTATTTAAATAAGATTTTATTTGGGGTGTTAAGGGTAACACATTTTCGACATTCTTCGCTCTTTTAGCACCACTCTAATCTATAACATAGAGAAGTTGTATTGATTTTATTTTAAACTCGTATGTAAGAGAAATATTTTTTTATGTTAATTTAAATTATTGAACTTCAACAATGCACTTAATGTGTTTTAATATAACATCACCCATTTAATTACTACTGTAGTCACTATTAATGCACACGAACATACTTGAAAAGTGACTAGAATGTTAATCAAATGAGTGTCGTCATTTTAAAACACTTTAAGTACATTGAACTAAAGCACTTCCAAATTTGAAATTTGCAGTAAAGTATTTTTAAAAATGACTGTTTGTTATAGATGGAGATTCAAGTGGAGAGTTTGCTTCAGGAAGTGGTCAAGAAGATGAAGGAGTTCATGACCACGTGGAGGAAATGGAGGAAGAGCCTGACGATGAAGATGAAGATGATGAAGACGTGGAGATGCAGGGAGTTGACCAAGGTCGAGAAACTCCAACAGTAACTAGAGATACTTCATCAACGGGATCAAATGGTAGTAAAAAACGCCAATCCTCATCATCATCTTCATCATCAGGAGGGGGACAGAACCACCAATCTTGTCAAAGTCAATCATCTCAAAATGGAGGAAATAATTCTAATTCAGCTGGAGGCAAACCTCGAAGAGCACGAACAGCTTTCACATATGAGCAACTTGTAGCTTTAGAAAATAAATTTAAAACAACGAGATACCTTTCTGTTTGTGAACGGCTAAATCTGGCACTTTCTTTGTCATTAACTGAAACTCAAGTGAAGATTTGGTTCCAGAATAGAAGAACAAAGTGGAAAAAACAGAATCCTGGTCTTGATGTCAATAGTCCAACTGTACCAACTACTCCCCCACATCCATCACCTTATGCTCCAGCATTTCTTTTTGCGACACATCCTCACAGTCATCCACATTCCCATTCACATCCACATCAACATCCTCATGCCCATGTTCATCACGCTGCACCGCCACCACCGCCTCCTCCAGGTTATTATCATCATCCTGCAGCTCCTTATCCACCCACGGGTCCAACATTCTTTGGTCATCATCTTGCTACTCCAGTTTCAGCGCCTACACCTGTTTCATCATCGACACCTACCACCACTGGTCTATCTCTATCTTCACATGCCCATGCACATGCCCATCCGCACGCGTAGCGTCCTCCGTAAATTGTTAAATCCTTCCCAATAACATGTCATTATAGCAGAACTCTTGTACAATGAGTTTAATCGATCCTCTCGTCTCTTGTATGCGATGGACAAGCACGAGACATTTGGTACCTGGCTTTCTATCCACTCCATTCTAATCCTAACACTTCTGTTTATTCCCTGATTACCTACGTTTCTGCAGAATCAACATCCAATCCTTACTGTAACATACGTAGATCATCAATCGCTTCTGGGTAAGCGAAAAAGACTTAAGTCAAATGTGGAAATTTATAGACAAGCTGATGTAGACATCAAGTTTTATTCAATGACAAAAAAACTGATGGTGAGAATGATATGTGCAAAAATAAAATTATACAAAGTGTGATAAGTGATATTGATAAGAGATTTACGTAGCTGATATATTTGAAGATGAATGTTTTGAGTATGTGAATTGTCACATTCGAGATCTGTAAAATAAATGCCATACGTAATGCTTGTAAATAATTAATTATAAATATCTGATAAATATTAATCAAATTAACCAAGTCTCCTATTTCCTAGTCGATTTATGATGGTTAATTATTTTTTTAGACTTTTATTTCTAGATTATTTATTTGACATTTCATTTTGTATATTTAAAAAAACCTTTTCAAGAAGAATGAGACGAACAAAGGATAATAATCATTAAAATTCACCGGATGGTGATAAATATTTTTCGCTTTGAGGTCACGCAACCTTAGCATGAGGTCCTTCATGCTCTGCTCACGTTTTACAATCAAGTATCTGTCTCACGAGCCAAAGTGGCTACGTCAAATTGACAGAAAATTGTCCGCAACTTGCTTTGATGATTAAATTAGACACTATTAAGTCTTTCATTATTATTATTATTCATAGCACTTGCAATAAATATTCATGTCATTTAATTATCAGAAGTCTTTTTAATTGGAAGCAAATATAAGAATTTTATTTATTGTTTTTTGTTAGCGGAGAAAAATTGAATCGTTTATATAAATATAATTAATGATGGGAAAAAAATAAAAATTGACATAACGACTATTTATAAGTTTAGAAAAATTATTTTTAAAAATAAATGATTAATTCTTGTCAAAATTGTTGCCTTTTTTTTAATGTTTCTATGTAAAAAAAAATCATCATGCACCACTGTAAATATTGTATATAATTTTAATTTGAATTATTTGATAGTTATTAATATAAAAATCCGAATGAGTACAATTATAGCATTTATAATTAAAAAAAAATCAATGTTGTTTTGAAGGAATTGTTTTTTTTTTTTTTTTTAATTTATTAAGTACCCAGGATTTTCAAGTTATTATGAAGTTATATTTCATCTGCAATTATAGATAATTTTAAATATGTTGGTAAGAATTCTCTTTAAAAAATCTACTTATGCAATGAATAGATCACTTTAGTGTCAGTATTATGATGAAAAAAAATCTCATTTATGACTAGTTTATATAAATAAAATCATTCCCATTCGCTCAAATTTATCATATTTATTAATTGCTACTATACTGTTATGATGACATTATTATTATTATTTTCCAAATTTATACCATATCATGATTTCCTTTCAATTACTAGAGTAAAAATAATGATGTTGGAAACAAGATATCTCAATACAACTGGTGGAGATGAATCTTTTAAATTGAAAAAATTTAATTAAATAAAAATTAATAAGTAGAATATCAGTTGACAGAGATCATGACAAAGAACTAGCCCGTTGGGCAAAGATAAATTACTGTTATTCAATCTTACTAATCTAAGGATTCAAGAAACAACCTTCGGCCAATCCGCCCTTAAACTTGCTCTGAGCAAAATCGACACCCCTGAAGAAGCCAGAGGCAATCGTAGTCCATTTTCCTCTTTGAAACTTCCAACGAAATACGATCTTTTATATTATACATCTCTGTCTCTTCTTTCCAAGTGAATCCAATAGCAGATTAGCCTCTTTGCTCGTTTTTTGCTTATCTTCTGTTCCATCTCTCTATTCTAGCTCTACTTTGTAACAATCGTCTACTTCTAGATTTGCCAAACCGACCGCGTTATCGGACTAAAAGTCACCAAGATGTAGATTGACATTCAAGAAGTATACTATTCAGACAGTGGCAAGAACAGCAAGGCAAGTAAAGGTTTAAAAGGATGAAATGAAATAGCAAGGAAAAAAAGGTGGCTGTCGGTCGGTTGCTGGACAATTCTCTCGAATTAATTCTTAGGGGTGGATTTGGAAAGGGGCTGCACCGTCGCTTATACCAAAGAGAGTGTGAGTGGAACGAGTGGACCGTGAAATAACCAACCCCATAGTACTCGTATTCTCCTTTTCGTACCCTTCTCACTGTGTTTGGAATCTCACCAACAGTGGCACAGGCTCGTCAAGGTGAAAAATTTGATAAATTCACTAAATAGCACTATGATTTACAAAACAATTTAAATAATTATCACCACTTCCTATCTGGCAAAAAATTCACATAAGTACTTGAGAGAAAAGGGTTTATTTAAAAAAGTAGCAGCAATCACTGGAGTGAAATAAAAATTAAAATTCATTCTAATGATTTTTTTAATGAGACATCAAAATTTCTGAATTATTACCAAGCTAAGAATTGTAAAATATCAGTAAGTCGGCTTGGCATATTTTTTAAATTTGATTTACAGTTTAGAACAAACATTTTTTCTATCAAAATGAATCATTGAAAATAAAATTGAATGTTGCATTAAAACCCGAATTAGTAGGAAAATGCGAGGCAAAACGACTTTTTGAATTTTAAAATAACTTATTCATATAATAATGTAATTTGAGCGATAAGCAAATTTTTAAATCAATGATATTGATATATTATTCGTATTCTCTTACTTTTAGAACATGTTTTACCAAGTTTTATTGTTTGTAGTTAAGAAACGATTCATTGTACTTTACATTTGATAATTTTAAAAATAAATATATCAATTAGATAAAACTTAGCTTTGGCCCAAATAAACTCATTCCCAATTAATTACATCGTTTTTAGCAATAGGTCATTTTTACCCCGAGGGCCATTTCACCCTAGTTACCCTTGCATATTTGTATGAAACAAATACTTAAATACTATTGTATATACATTACAACTAGAGGAACAATATTTAGTCTAGTTAACCCTAAGAGCCATCACAAAATTTATTTACTTATTGTCTTTAAATTCAAGAAAAAAGAAACACTAGAAAAATGCTTTTACTTAGGTCAGCTAATAGGATCATTAAAGAAATTAATTAATGTAGGGGAGTAGGTTAATAGCTGTTGGGAGTTAGTTTCTCAATGATGGTAAATGGATGGTGATTGCAGAAGAAAAAGGCTATCGTCCAATAGAGGTAGTACAAACGAGAGTCTATTGGATAAGATTGAGATAAATCTTATCAGATGGTATGAGCCACATTCGTCTCTAGAGAAACTATTAACCTTCTCGAAGATGATCCCTCTCTGTCTCTATACCTCTACCCTTGGAAGAGTTTGTAGTTAAATCGGATAGGACCGGGATAGAGATGAACAAAAGCAACGAAAATCGATCGATCGGCTCTTCGCTAGGCATTGCGTTATCTTTCGTTTCCGTACTTCACTTCATATCCCCTCTTCCTCTCCCTTCATTCTCTGTCTATCGTCCATCGTGACGTAACATTCTGCGATACGGTTCAACTCAATAAATCCTCCAAATGATGGGATTCACTTGCTTTGATATGAGAGAAAAAAATTGTAATATCTTATGTGATTTCAACAAAATGTGTTAATCATGAGGCAGTAATCATGATAATAGAGTATCAATTTAATTATAATTGAATAGATTGTATTGTTTTGATTGAATGAAAAAATAAATGCTTACCCTAACGTTTTTATTATCCTCCACCCCCTGAAGGTATACATGCACGTGCGGACACACCCGTCGATAGGAAGAGAGAGAAGTCTACCCTAGAGCCTAGGCTGCCAACTGGAATTCGCTTCAACCTCAACAGTGCAAACAGAAGCATTGATTTCGCCGCTTTCAAACACCCTCTACATCCCTCCACCAAGCCACCCTTTCCACTGTAATGTAACTGTTGCTGTACACAATACATGTTCTACATTTAATACATGTATCAAGGTGTGTAAACTAAACCATCAATCAACTCTAATAATTATGCTAATTGCTGTCATAATAACTTCAATAAATTGTGCTAATATAAAATCGATAGTAAATAAATTGGTAGAGGAAAAGTAGATTCATGCTAAAATTATTATCCTGACCAATCGGAATTTATAATCAGTTTGGAAATTATTGGCCAACTTTTAAGCCGACAATTCGGAAATGTTCGAGTATTATTTCTTAGGTAATTTTATCGTTAATTAAGGGAGTAAAATCATGAAGGTTTTATGGATATTGTGCAGAGAAAGGAGAATTGAATAAGTATTATTTCACATAGTGAAGTCAATTAACTTCCATAGAGTTACAGTTATATTTGAAAAAAAGATTCGTTAAAAAATTAAAGAGGAATATTTCATCAACTATCAAAAATCTTTCTAATAACATTTAAAAAACAATAAAAAATTATGTAACTTTAACAAAAATATGAATATTGATTTTAATTAAATGTCAAGTATAATAAATATTTTGTTAGTTTTATTAAAATATTTTCCTGAATAAGACTGAAATATTACTTTTTTTTTTAAATTAGTCATTTGAAAGAAATATTAACTTCCTATTGAAAAAAATGTGTGAATTAAAGTCTGAATAGAATAATCCTAAAAACATAAATATACAGTGTCCATTACTATACTGTATTATTTTATTCGATTGCATCCCTAATTGATATTTTTATTCATAAAATAATTTAAACTAAATAAATTTTTCTCCAGCAATGATAAAAAATTAGTATCATTTTCAAGAATGTACAGATAAATGTATAAGTCAATACGTATACAAAATGTAGAACGGGGAGTTGAAGAAAGTAGGAGAGTCTCGTGGGGAGTGTTATCGATAATCCGGATAATCTCGTTGACGATGGAACAATAGAACGTGGCAAGAATATAACGCGCACGCGAAGAAGAGAGCAATCGAGAGATGAAGAGTCTGCAGGTTTCGGTGTTGATCAAAGGAGTGGGAAAGAATCGAGAATTGAGAGACGATAGCGAGGTAGATTGTGTTGGAGGGATGAAGAGGCAATGGAGGCGGCGATGCGAACGTTTAATAAAAGATGCGCAGAGATAGCGCCATTACCCCCGACTTGCATTATTTACCAGAGCAAGCAACTCTCTGGCCGCGTTCCGCCGCAGTCGCGTTGGGTAGGCGTGTCATCCACCCACTTGCCTAGCACATAACCCAACATACTCTTCTCCCTTTCTCTTTTCTTCCCGTACATTCCAGCTAGTCTATTCTCGTGATCTATCTACCTGTATTTCCCTTGTAAATCCTAACCCCCGAGCGCTGTCGACGCGCTTATATACCCGCGTCTGCA